GTGCTCCAAATTCACAAGTGTCCGCTAAGTTCTTCAATACAGTCACGTAGTGGTCGATGGACTCACCACTGTCTTGATTTCTCGAGAAAAAAACATAGCGTTCATAGATAGTGTTCTTCCTCGGGTTGCAAAACAGCTCGAACTTCTCCAAGACTTTTTCAATTTTGAGCTCGTCGCCTTCTTCATCCCACGTGAGCGTGTTGTAAACATCGACAGCCTCTTCGCCGATTACGGTAAGTAGAGTCGCGACACGTGTTGGTTCATCTTTCTGTGCTACGCCGGTTGCTATTTCATAATTGCTCCATTTCTGTCTGAATTTCTTCCACTTCTGGGCTGTGTTCCCTTGCTGGAGTTGTAGAGGCTCCGGTGGAGGCAAACCAAATGAAGCAGCGGCCATGTTGGTTTTCTAGGTAAGCTTGTTCGGGTTTGTTAGTTCGTGGCGTTCACAAGTTCACGCGAATCTTTGTGTGTAAATCCAAGGTAACCACTCTTCTGACACCATGTAATGAACTTTAAGGTTTAAATAACAAGGACGACAGCTTTGTAAAGGCTCTGTAATTCCTGGCTCAACAGGTCAACACAATTTAACTCGTGGTCGATTCTGACTAAAGCGCTGGGCGACCAGGCCGTATTACATAATATCTTTACATTACGCCATGTTGATGACACCTTTACCGCCGTTCACAAACACGAAATTGATGATTTTTATGACCACCTAAACGAACAGAACGCCGACATCCAGTTTACTAAAGAGATTGAAGAAAATGGAAAACTTACTTTTCTAGGCTGTTTGGTAAGCCGCGAAAACAACGAACTACGAACGACAGTGTACAGAAAACCGACGCATACCAACAGATTACTTGACGAATCATCCTACAACCCGACTTCACACAAAGCCACGACTATAAAGACTGACGAGACGAGCGCAACTAGTTTGACACAGCGGACAGCTTACGTGACGAAAACAGATACGTTGAACGTGTTTTTCACAAAAACAACTACAACGCTGACTTTGTTAGACGAAACATTTACTGGCCTACTGAAGCTTGGTCCGTATATTGTACGTGTGTTTACTTGTGTATAAGGCGAACTCNTTGTGTGTAAATCCAAGGTAACCACTCTTCTGACACCATGTAATGAACTTTAAGGTTTAAATAACAAGGACGACAGCTTTGTAAAGGCTCTGTAATTCCTGGCTCAACAGGTCAACACAATTTAACTCGTGGTCGATTCTGACTAAAGCGCTGGGCGACCAGGCCGTATTACATAATATCGTTACACTAATCATTTAAGTCAGAGTATGTTGAATTTGAGCTAAAAATTTATAACAAGATGCAAATACCACTGCAGGGTAGCAAAAAATTTAATAGCTTGTGAGACCAAATACCTTTCTACAGCAAGACCAACATTAATGTAATTGAGAGTCGAGGAGAGTCAACTTACAATTGATCAAACTCTTGCTGAGTTATCGGAGCACCAACCCTCATTCACCTGGGGCATTCCACCCGGGATCTTGCCAAAAATTGGCAGAATCCCAGGACGGATGAATGCAGATACTGGGTGGGAATGGCAGGATCTAGCCTCCACTGTTTACTTGGGAGGGATTTCACAGTTTATTTCAAAACTTTGTGTTAGAAATATTCAAGGTTTGAACCTCTCAATCTTCTAGTCAATTGTAAGAACACACAACCCGATAATACTGAACAATGTGCAGTGACAGCTAGGGTGCCAAGAGACGTGCATTTACAACACAATGATCAACCACCACAATATGAATTATTGTAGCTTTTAAACAGCCATTTAGACAAGTGATTGACAGAAAGGAACATGAGCTGGTGATGTGTCGCCGGTCAAAGGCTCTATGGTGCTACTTAAGAAGAATTGTGTTTAGATGTACGTTTGCCACGCTGCTCCCTGACCATCATATATCCACTTGAGTGCAACCAACTTTCAAGAGAAACTGTTCTGAGTTACCTTAATTAAGTGCTTTACTGTAGTGAAGTGAAATTAGGCTAGTCTGTTATTCAAATTTATAATAACTACAAATTTGTCCATAATTGTATAATGTGGACAGAGGTTTCAATTTTGACACTGGTACAAGGCTGAAAGTAAAAATTCAAAGCTCAGTGTTGTTTTCTTTTTACATAACAAATTCAGGGTTGTGAAAAAATTAATTTTCTGTACTAGTAAAAACAAAGCAAAGAAACAAATCAGAGGTGTACAGCTCGCACATAGATTTCTGTTGTGAGGGGGGTAGAGTAAGTGGGAAATCCATGGGACGGGAAAAAAGGTGGGTAGAGGGATTCCCAAGGTCACATGAACCATACAGGAAGAAATGAAAAAACTTTTGAAGCAATTTTGTAGAATGCTTAGGAAGCGATACAAAAAGAGCCAGCAGGCACTGGGATTATTAAGGAAGGGGAAGAAATGGGAAGTAAAGGGCATAGAGATGTGGGAAGTTCACAGATACCCTAAGGGCTGGTTTTCACTTGTGCAAAAACATAAGCAACATATACAGATGCAGGGGAGTGCTGGTAAGTAGCACCTACATGTGTAGGGTACTTGCACGATTTGGGGGGGGGGGNTTTTTTGGGGGGTTGAAAATTTACACCCTTAGTATTTTTTTTTTGGCTCAAGAGATCTGTCACATTAATTTTTTTAGGTCTTAAACAAAATATGCATATTTTTTTGGGTTGATACAAAATCATGCATTAGTAGAGTCTGTTTGATTGAATAAATCAGTATTGAGGTATATAAGTCTTGTATTTTTTTTTTTGGAAGGGAAATTTGATGAATGGTATTTCTTGGGCTGTGAAATTTCAGGCTCATGTTTTTTCGGGGGTTCGCAATATGAAGCTCCGTCAGATCCCCCTATGATGTATACTGTGAGTACCCCCTGGGGTCTACGTATGTCAGCTTAAATACACTTACACATTAAAGAAAACCAGCCTTAACCACTGACTGTGTGGTGAGATAAAGCTAAATACTGATTTTTTGAGCATCCAAGGGAACGAAAATTGGTTTGATAATTTGGTTAGTTCGAGAAATCGTGGTGAAATTACAGTATTCCACTAAGTACATGCAGAGGGGAATGACTTTTGGTTTCAGTTATTGGGAGGTTTGAAAAATCAAGGGTTTGAGAAATCGAGAATTCCACTGTTCGGTACTATCTTTCTTTTCAGTTTATAGAAATGTGCATGTCACTAAATCGAAGGGTTGCTATTCCTAGGATACAAAAATAAAATTACTACTTACAGAAGATACATAGTCCAAAGGGTCTGGGACCTCTTTGATGGTCGTCTTAGTGGAAAACTCTAACCTCAATGGCTGACCCTGCAGAAGAAGATTCCCCTTATTACCAAGCATGAAAAGTTTATGGTTTCTGGTTCCTTATCTTCCTTACTCAAGCATGCTTGTTCTTTCTCAATACAGTCCAAGAAGGAACAAGCCTGTATGAACTATCAAGAGACGAACTCTGAGAAGACAATTTGATCGTCACTCTCTGGCAACCTTAAACATGACTTTTTTTATATTCAAGTACAGTGTTCTTTGAGGTCTTCATATGGCAAAATTATTGATAAGGGGGGGCTTTCTTTTGGCAGGCAGATGGCACTATGACTGGGTGTCATAATTGTAACAAGGGTGGAGAAAGAGGAGCTTAAACTGGCAGTTTTTATTTTCCTTTCAAACTGCAAACATTGTTGGGTGAGAACTTTAGCTTTGGCCTAACAAGTCTTGGGGCTGGGACAGGAAAAGTTTCAAACTATCCAATCTTACAAAGTTGTCAAAAACCTTTGGACGACTTCAGAGGAAGAAGGGAGAGAGAAAGAAGGTGGGGTGGGGGAGGGGGGGAAGGCAGGTTTATGGATTGATGCCTGATATATTTGGGTCATCTGTGAATATTCTGGGACTCCTGGGATGAAATTCTTGTACCTGTGACTCAGAAAAAGTTGGCAGGTATAAGTATGTGTTGAAGGCACAAATGGTACCCACGCAGCTTACAGACAACCAACTACTTATTAAATACATTAAGTACTCACTGTTATTCTAATAGGGTTAAAAAGAGATGTCTTGAAAAGGGTGACTTCGCGCCCAGACCCTGGATAAGGTGGCACAGCCGGGTATAAGAAGTCTCGTGCATTGTTGGCATAATGACCGATGACATAGCCATCTGCAAAAAGAAACAGCATGCAGTCTTGTAAATAGCGATGCTCATTTTCAACATATCTAATTCAATGCTATGTGAAGTAAATTGTGGAAAGCTAAGATTTCTGGGCTTTCATTTTCATAGAAATAGCTGTCCCTCTTCAGGAAGTTTAATGTCACCCAGCGGGGGGAGGGGGGTTAATCCCTTGTATGGGCTAGATAGGTATGTGCGGCCCCAGAGGGTGTGGTTTTTCGGCCGTTTTGGTCATAAACAGGGTGTCAGTTTTAGCCATTCTGGTCAAAATGGGGTATGATTTTTAAACTCTAGTCTTGAACTGGGTATGTTTTTTAGAAGAAGCTACTTTTTCATCCTTACTGATAAGAGCAATCAACAAAAGCTCCTCACAATGCCTTTAACATCGGTCTGAACTAGGGAACTAAGTATAAGGCAGTTCTAACACAAGGTATTGATTCAGGATCAAGTCATTTATAGGGTATCGAATATTTGGTCAGGTCATAAATAGGGTAAGGAAAATCACATATTTTGGTCATAAATAGGGTAAGGATTTTAGGAAGCGGGCCGCACAACCCCACCAAATTTTTCTCAGAGTAAAGCAATTTTTCACAATGGACAAGATCACAAAAGGGTTTGGCAAATTAGACACTGCTTTTTGAAACTCAACAAATTCTCAAAACCAATTTTCAGGAGAAAAATGCAAAGTTAGTAAGGAGAAACTGACAATTTCTAGGTCTGTGAGAATCAACTAACTAAAGAGTTCATGAAGTCATTTAAAATAATGTTTTGATATTTCTTGACCAAAGAAAATCTTTACTTGTAAACTTTGAGTTACTCATAAATTATGCAAAAGTTCCAAAGACGTTTTTCAATGTAAGCAAAATGAGTTTATTCTCGAAGCAACTCTAAGTTAAATTAAGAGTCGAGGATATTGTAATATTTACAATACGTAGAACCTTAATTTCCTGTTGACGAACAGAAGAAGAATAATTCAGAAGAATTATTCAGAACGTAAGCTGAGAAAAGAGTTTCAATAAAACTCATATAAAATTCTTACATAGCGAATGTTAATCCAAAAATTCCACTGGCTAATGTACACAACCGCAAGAACAACAGAACGCAAAGCACTAAATTGTCCAAACATAAAACAAACACTTTTGATTGAATGTAGAATTTTTGGATTGGCGCTAAAATCAGTGACATCTACGGGGCGAATTTTAATGATAATGATCAATCGTTCGTAAACCAAAATTTCCGAGAAAGAAATAAGCTTAATAACAAAATAAGCATAAACAGTGGACTATTAAACAACTTAGTACAAGCCATGGAATGCGAAAATGAAAACTTACAAACGTTAGTGAGTGCTACATATTCTGTTTTAGTGGCCGGTTTTTGTGGCTTTGGTCGAGACAAAAACTAATTACGGATTGTAATCAAAGTGTTGGAGCCAAGGTTAAATAACACTACAAGGTACCACAACGTAGATGTCACAGATCGGCGCAATCTTTAAGCTTGCAGTACTTGCAGTACATCGAATTCCGATGATATAATAAGGTTTTAACAAGGTTTCAACTGGATTAGCACTGCAATTGCACGAACTTCTGGTGACTCAGTAATCTTCACAAACAAAGGACAAATACTTGCGTTTTTCGAATGCCGTGGGTACAGTAATAATGTAAACATAATTTTCCCACCTCTCTTGAAGACAAGTTTCGGGTTGATTGCGTACAGCTGATAGGAAATGTAAACAGATAACCGACTACGTGTTGTGTGTGAGCAAATTGCGACCCTCTCGTCTCTTGTAATCTTGGAACCAAGTGATTTAAAAGTCCTTAAAATACTGAGATTCTTACCTGAAATATAGTCATCATGTTGTCTCAATTCTACCAATACGTCTTCACCTAAAAATTGCGAGAACACATACCTTTTAGCATTTCACTATCAACACAACCAACAAATATGGCCGAATTCCTCGATCGAATTACACCACATCACCGCTTTCAGAACTTCTTAGCTTACCTTTGAGGTGAACAGTGACATACGCTGGGTCTTGGCAGCTTTTGAAAACCTTGGTATTAAAAGAAACAAGGCATACTGTAAACTTTTAGAACCTAATCAACTCTGGGGAAAATATTCACGAAGAAATAAAGAGAGTCAAATTATACTTTGCATGTAGCTTACCCGTTCGAATCGCAGACGTTCGTGGAAGAACAAGGGAAAAGTTGGGGCTACGGACTTCGTGTTAACTTCTAAACCCATGCAGTTTACTTTGAGATAAACATAGCCGTAATCTCGTAGGAATGTTCCCGGGCATGTCACCTGAAAAACGAACAAAATGCAGAAAGATCGCTGAATTCGTTCGACCAGAAAGTCGCTTCCTTGCATACGTCTGGCGTCGTTAGCAACGGCAAAAGATTCTGCGAAATTCTACCAGTAAACGGCCGAAAATTCTTACCGTGTGGATATCTAACTCTACTACGACCTTCATCGCCTTACGGGGCATTGTATTCTTGAGAGAATTCGAAAATCCTACGAAGCGATTCTACTCGATCGATGGGAAGGCACTACAGGAAAGCGATCAAACCGGGCCACAGATTTGCCCGCATGATAGAGCGCGTCACCGCGGGTAGACGCGAAATTTAGTAAACAGACGATGGCCAATCACAGTGCAGAAGTCAATAAATTAATTAATCGAATATATTTACGGACAAATGACAATTCTTACTGCTTTGTGACGTCATTAAGAAGACGGGACAAGGGAGACGAGAAATGAGATGATGAAATGATGATGGGGGCAGGGAGGGGGATTCGGGTAGGAAGGCCGTAGGAGCAATGTAGCGTAAGGCGGTAGGTAGCGCGAAACGTGCTGGGAGACAACTTGTAAACAACCGTCTATTTATAACCAACAGTCTATTTTGGTACGATCTTCATGTCAAATTCTGTGATCATCCCGATAGTTGTTATTACCTGCAGCTGTCTTTCATGTACCAATGACCACTCTTAAGCGAGGATTTGAACAAGAGATGGGGGAAGTAAGTTAGATGGGAGTCGATCGAGGGTTGAAGCGGTTAGAATTGAGCTGGATTTCTGTAATTTTTTTTTTCCGTCGAAACCCAACGGAGGCCATTTATAGGGCCTAGACCTTTCCGGGACCTTTTTACCAATGCCAGGCAAAGTCAACAATTTTCCACGGTATTCTTCAAATAATTAAAAAGCGCCTCCATGGCTCAATTCATCATGCCGAATTTAGAAAATCTGCGAAGTTTGAAGAACCCGTTACAAACGCATAAAAGTATAGGATCCCAACCTTACAATGAAATGTATGCCTGGGGGCAAGGCGGCAAGCATTACCACCTGGCTTACATTTCTTTGTACCCTGCGAGCAGAGGTCTCCTCTGATTTTCTTGGCAAAAATTGGCAAGTTAGGGTTACCTTATTTTTCTGAGTTTGCAACGGATTCTAATGGCACTTCGCACATTTACTGAATCTGGAATGATAAATTGAGCGGCGTGGTTTATTTAATATTTATTTTTTTGCTGTTTGAATGAAAACAAAAAACAAAAAAAAAAACAAAAAAATCGGAAGTGCGTGACATCGGTGAAAGGTCCGTTTAGTTCTTTCTTTTCCCACGAAGAACCTGCTCGGAGGCTCGCAGGGAATTCAAATGATAGAAAATTAGCTAAAATCGAGGAAAGTTGTTCAAAATATGGGTTATACTAAATCAAAAGCAGCGGTTTTGCTGTTTGAGTGAAAATTGTAGACGGAGGTTAAAATGTTGAAATTTCTAGAATAACTTTCTGCTAAAAAAAAAGCAGATCGGAAGTATTTTGAATGTTTTCCTTATACATTTTGCATGATGGATTGGGTAACTTCCTTTTCCTGTTCAGCTCTCTCACCAGGAATTTTGTTTCCGTGCGTGTTCATGACGTCACACTACCAAACACACAACACGCAAAGATGGCGACTGACTAGTCTGAGACGCTGAGAGTTTAGCAAATAATAGAGTTCGTTGCGGCTTCAGCCCTTGGAAAGGATACCTTGAAGATGCAAAAGGTCCCTTAGATACTACCCAGGGAGGTCTTACCCTGGAGAATGTAATATTCTTTGAGATTACTTTGAATATTTCCACGAGCGTACACATTTTGGTTGGAAGTTTTCAAGCGGTCGGGTTTGATCGAAGAGGTTCATCAACAACGGAATAAAAGCGACGGTATGGTTCGTTTTCATCGGTAAGGGAACGTCTTTTATCGAAGGAAACTGTGGCATTTACAACTGCAAGGACTGGAAAATGGATAAAATGGACAAGCAAGAGCGACTTGAGAGAACAGCATCCATGGCTTATAACAAGGGTTTAATTAATAACCCAGGTGAAAATAATTGTTTTCTCAACTCAGCAGTACAGGTAAGGAGTATAGTTTGTTTACAGCAAAATGTTCGATGGCTCATTAGTATTTATAAGGAATCCTTGCTGTTTTCTGCTTCAAACATAACGCGTTTTTTTTTCTTTTAGCGTAATGCCTGTCAGATTACGCTTTCACAGAGCAATTAGAATCGAAGCGTAATAACTCCACGCGTTATTTTTGTCGCATTAAAACCAGTGTTGAAACAGGCGAAGTGACCGCTAAATGTCCTCACAGTGGGGCATCGTAGTGTATATTAAGAGCTGGTTATTCTCAAACTTGAAGTTCAAATTTTTTCACGTTTTACAACATTAACATATTTCGTGTGTCGACTCTTGATTTCACTCAGATATTGATTTAGCGCACAAAGAACTTTAGATCTCATTCGATTATTGTAAGTGGAGTTATATCGTATAATCTTGGATTCGTGCTTTCGTAAAACTCAACAAACGTAAAAAGTTAGGCAATATTCAATCGCTTTGCCAGCAAGAGATGCGGTTGTACAAATTCATTGGAATGTTGACTTAGAAATCGCTTTTCTTTTGGCATAAAGCTTTCGATGAAGCGTGTAAATGTTTTGTAAAAACGCAAAGCCTCTTGTGGATTATTTGAAAGATTTTTATTCAAACACAATGGAGTCGTAAGGGATTAGATCCTGGCCCTGTGCAAAAGTTTTGATGTTGCAATGAACAATTTATTACAGAAAAAAAATCGATTTTCATATCATAAGCTTTCAACTGGTAAAATGATCCGATAGTTAATTAGTTTCTGTCTTTAAATGTCAGAATATTTTTGTATCATTTTTGAAGACTAGATAAACATTCAAAATGTAGGTGATTTGAATCGATCGTGGTGGGTTTCCACACCCTATGAACAAATAAGGGAAAAATCTGCTTGAACCACTTGAGGAAAGCCTTAACTTAACTGCTTGTCATACTTGATACTTCCTTCACTTGACATTCAGTCAACTTTGTTGTTTTAGTTCAAGCACTTCTACCATCTATACCCCCCCAAAATTTTGTTTTCATGGCTAATTACACTCATTACCTTCAAAATATTATAATTATAGCAAAATGTTAGGAATTTTGTGACCTGACAATGTTATAACAGTTTATTATTTTGGAGCAACTTTAACTTCTTCTTTGCCAATATCACTTGAGCCACTTGAAGCAGTATAACAAATATTGGCCCAAGGAAAATGATTTCAGCCAATTTCACATAGAAATCTGTTTATAAATGGTCATTTATATATCTTAGCAATATTTGGATAGAGAGTAGCTGTTCAATTCATGGGAGGTTGAATACAATATTGCACCTTTAATCTAAGTCGGTTCTTACGAGCACTTTTTCCTTCCTGTGCTAGAAAACTGCATTGTGCAATATCACTTTTTATTTTTCTTTACTTTACTTGGTGGGTGAGAGCAGATGATATTTTCAACTTCCTAAGAGGTTTAACACAACATGCTTGTCTGAGTAATAATAATAATAATAATAATAATAATAATAATAATAATAATA